CTGCGCGCCGGCTTCTACGACCTGCTCGTGGACATGCACCTGGGCGCCTACGCCACCGCGCGGCTCATGATGAACAGCGAGTTCATCGTGCCCATGACGGAGGAGACCAAGGGCATCAGGCTCTTCCCCGACGCGCGCAGGCAGCACGGGCTGCCCGGCATCGGCCTCAGCACCTCGCTGCGCCCGCGCATGCGCTTCGCCTCGCCCAGCTTCGTGAGCCTCAGCCACGACGGCTACCAGGACAGCCCCGAGTTCCCCCTGGACACGCTCAAGGCCAAGACCATGCAGATGCTGACGGAGGCGGTGCGGGAGGGCGGCCTGCGCGCGCGCGACCCGGTCGGGGGCACCACCGAGTTCCTCTTCGTGCCGCTCATCAAGCTCTTCTACACGCTGCTCACCATGGGCGTCTTCCAGGGCGAGGACCTGAAGCACATCCTGCAGCTGATTGAGCCCCGGGTGTTCACAGAGGCCGCCCCGGAGGCGGAGCACCGGGCGCCACCCAGAGAGCCCCGCGCGGATGACTCCAGGCCGGAGGGTGCACATGGGGACGCGGCCGAGGGACTGCTGCAGATGAAACTGCCCGAGCCAGTGAAGCTCCAGGTGAGACGAGGGAAGTGGCTGCAGGTGAGCGGGGGAGAGGGCTGCGGGTGAGCAGGGGCAAGAGGTGCGGGTGAGCAGGGGGAGAACGAGGTGGGGAGCTCAGGATTGCACAAGACCAGGGCACTGAATCTGGCCCATGTGTGGTGGTTCATAGTTGCCTAGAAAATTAACTGATGTCCAGTTGTGTTTTGGGACTTGTCAATCTAATTTTCTTACATTTGGAATGGATTTAATGAATTTTCCAATTGAGTCAATTGGCAATAGTTAATTAAAGATAAATTTGGTATATTTGTCAAGGTGGTTTCTTTGGCTGAGTACCTGTCTGTCTGCCATACATGTCTGCAAGTCTGGCCTGTCATTGTGTGTGTGTGTATGTATGTGTGTATGTATGTATCTGTGTGTGTATATGTATATTTTTATGTAGAGATGTGTGTATATGTCTATTTGTGTGTATGTGTATATATATTTTGTGTGCGTGTGTATAGTTGTATATGTGTGTATCTGTATATTTATGTGTGTACATTTGTGTGTATATGCATATTTGTGGGTATATGTATATTTTTGTGTATATGTGTATATATTTATGTGTGCCTAGAGTTGTGTGTGTGTATTTGTGTGCGTATATTTGTACATGTATATTTGCATTCTTATGTATGTGTACATATGTATATTTCTGTGTGTGTACACTTCAGTGTAGGTGTATATATGCATATTTGTGTCTGTAGTGTATGTTAATATGTGTTTGTTTACATATATGCATATTTGTGTGTATGTGCATATATGTACATGTCTGTGTGTGTACAGTTGTGCGTATGTGTGTATACGTGTGTGTCTATCTGAAAGCATAGGAGGCGGGCTTCTGTCTGCCAGCTCTTCTCCCTCCGGTTCCTTAGCCATTCCCTGTGTCTCTCTCTTGTTTCTGCACATGCGTCTCACCACGTTTTGTGGGAAATCCAGGTGTTTGGTAGCCTTTCCTGCCCTGCCTGTACTCTTACCACCTAAGGACACTTGTCCCACAGCCGGATGTCACTTCCTGCAGGCGTTTCTAAGGCACTGAAGGTGTGGCCTGTCTTTGTACTCAGATGTCTGAGGACCTTTCTCCAGCCTCTCTGGTCTGTGAGGGTCACTCCGTGGGCACCATTGGCACGCCGTTTTCCTCCCCGTCCTGAGGTTGGGTCTTGCTCTGAGCCAGGCACGGTGCTGGGTGAAGGGACAGAGGGGGCCTGCCTTAAAGCAGCGTAGTCCCTGGGGGACATATGCCCTAGTGATGCATGTCTTTTACAGTATATCACTGCTCATTACTTGATGATCTGAAAGAGCAGAATGGATTACCCGAAGGCAGAGAACTTCAGCGGGATTGCTGCGAAAAGGCGAGGGGAGGCCACGGGTTGCAGCCGAGCAGCTGAGGAGAGAGGGTGCGGGAGGCAGGGGCCGGGTCACCCAGAGTGCAGCTCTTCGCTGAAACCAGCCATGTAATGGATTTTGAATCTTATTTCAAGCTCAGTTAAAACCAATGAAGAATTTTAGCAGGAAAGTTTTATCCTAAATTCAGTGTAGCTGCTGTGAGTAAAACAGATGAGAGGGCAGACAGAGTGAGGAGGCTGGCACTCGGGCCTGGCCTGAAGGGTGGCACTTACACTGGGGCAGGGCGAGGGAGGTGGAGGGAAGGGGACAGACACTTCAGAGCCAGCATTGACAGAAGGGACTCTCCTGTGGACGGTGACACAGGGTTTGAAAGCCCCTTTCGTACTGAATCACAGTGGCACTCGTGTATTTAAGTGTTTTCTTAAATGTGGGCAGAACATTCTTGGGTAGGCTTGTTCCACCGACTTACTGCACAGGTAGGAATCCTCTTGGCTTCTGCAGGAGAAGCCCCAGTTAGCCAGTTAGTGAATGTGCAGTACGACCACTTAATTAACTTACATGCAAACTCTGGAGGTAGACGGCTCTGGAATGGTGGAACCCCATGATATCATTTGAAACCCAGGTCACAGTGTCCTCTTGTGGTCCTCAGTCATGTTTTCATCCTAAGTGTTACCTCACCTTCCCCAGAGATCAGGTCCTGACCCAGGAACACTCACTCTGAGAAGAGGGTGTCTAGTCTGTTATTAATGAGGGAAAATCTTCCCCACAAGATCCCTGGCAAGCTTCTTATATATCCCATTGCCACCCCACTTATAGCTGCAGGGGCCAGGACGGTGAGTGTCCACCAGAGGGACATGCACGTGCCACTCTGGCTTAGTCATGCTCCGTTTCCTTCCTGGGACCTCCTACTTCACAGAACCAGGATTCTGTGCATAAATTAGGAGAGTTGGCAGCTGGGCATCTCTGCCATTGATCTTGATTTGATGTCCATTAACTAAAGATTCAGAAATTAAACTTGATGTCTTTTTAATTGTGTTCTCAGATGTGTCTGCTCCTTCAGTACCTCTGCGACTGCCAGGTCCGACACCGGATCGAAGCCATCGTGGCCTTTTCAGATGGCTTTGTTGCTAAGCTGCAGGACAACCAGCGCTTCCGCTATAATGAGGTCATGCAGGCCCTAAACATGTCAGCCGCACTCACAGCCAGGAAGACCAAGGAGTTCAGGTCGCCCCCGCAAGAGCAGGTATAAGACAAGTTGAAAATTCTTCCTTTTTACTTTGGGTTTTGGCTCATTCAGGATCCATGCATTGCAAAATTATATCATAAGTTACAAATGCATTTTCCCCTGTTCTCTTTAAAGTAGCCAAGTTGGTGTAGTCAGTATTCTTAGTTTCACTAATGAATCGACTTGATTAGTTTAAAAAAATAAGAGGCTTATTAAAAGGGGTCAGGTGTATCGTGGCCTCTGAGGAGGCCAGTTTGACATTCTACAAATAGGAAAAATGTGCAGCCACAGGGGGGTCGCCATGGCTGACACGGTTCCTCCCTACCTAGGGAGCTCTTGACTCCTAGGATGCAGTGCTGGACACATCTTTTAATTTAAAATTTTTATTTATTTTTTTACTTTTCAATTACAGTTAATACTCATATTTTTAAAATTGATGTTGGAGAGAGAAAGAGAGGGAAACATGAATTTGTTGTTCCACTTACTCATGCATTCATTGTCGATTCCTGCGTGTACCTGGACCAGATATCTAACCCATAACCTTGGTGTATCGGGAAAACACTGTAACCAACTGAGCTACCAGCCAGGGCCTCAATTTTATTTTACATTTGTTTCAGGTGTACAGCACAGTGGTTAGACATTTGTATAATTTACAAAGGAGACCTTGCTGTTTGGTCCATCCCTAGACTGTCACTGCCACCATTCTTGCTAGACAATTGATCCCGTTGGTGGTTTTTCCTGTTGTTTAGCTCCAAACCCAGGTCTCTAGGGTGCAGCTGAACCACAGGCACATGCCTGAACCAAAGAGTAAGCGAGTCTGGGGATGTGAGCTTTCTGGAAGCTTCCTCAGGAGGGAACTCATAGCATGAGAAGTTAGAAATTGTCTTCAGTATCTCACCATTTCCCTTCAGGTTCAAGATGCCTCCAAATGAAAGTGTTTAGAGACTTGCTGCAGAATTTACTTTTTTGCACCAGAATGTAATTTCTTTGAGGGAAGGGACAAGGAATTTTGTTTATTGCGTAAACATCATTTATTGAGTAGAGGACAAGACCAGCATCTCCCATTTTAGCTCCACTTGTTGAGCTGCTATGGGGAGACCTCTACTTCTAGAAAGGTCGGGGAGGTGTTCTTTTTCCTGTTCTGCCTGCTCAGTAAAACTGTCACCCTGGGAATTACACAAAATGCAAGAAGACTGAACAATAGAGAGAAAAAAGGAGACTGGTTACTGGACTCAGAGCCCAAGGAACAACACAGTGGTGAGTTCCTGGGGTTTCTATTTGCTTCATCTGTCCCACACTTGGAGCTAAAGAAGCCAGAATGCCAGCAAGCATAGTCAAGAGGAGCCCCAACAAAAGCCTACGTGCAGCCAGAGAACCAGAAAAACTCTGTTTTTCTAGCAAGACAGAAAACCTTTAGGTAATAACCGCATGACTCTAACCAAACACTATAGTAAGCACTGTAGCCTGACCCCCACCCCAACCAGCAACACTGAGTGAGGAGCCCAGACCTCCACTCTCACCAGCTGTAACAAGGTGCTCCAGCTGGGAGCTGAGACTTCCTCCCCGAGGCCTCCAGAGTGTCAGTAGAGACAAGGGATGGGGAGGTACCAGCCAGGGCTGTACAGGTTAGTGGAGAACTGGATCTCCCAGCCTTGCCCAGTGGGCACAGGTCTCCTCCTTCCTTCAAGTGTCCAGGAAGTCCAAGTGGGGAAATGGGCTTTCACTCTGCCTGGCAGTAACGAAGGCCCCAAAGTTCTTTTCATGCTAGATAGTCTTGGATGAAGCAAGAAGTTTAAGTAGGACCCAAAATCCGATAACATAATACTCAAAACATCCAGGTTTCAATTAAAAACCACTCATCATACCAAGAACCAGAAAATACTTGAATGAAAAATGTAATTAATAGATACCAACTCTGAGACGACAAAGACATTAAAATTATCTGACAAAGCTTTTAAAGCAGCCATCATAAAACTGCTTCAGAATGGGGGGAAAAAAAAAAAAAAAAAAAAAAAAAAAAAAAAAACAAAAAAAAAAAAAAAAAAAAAAAAAAAAAAAAAA